AGGAAGAGGAGCTGGTGTCTGCTTAGAGTAGCAGAGCTGCTCTAGGGTGTCTAACCTGCGGTGTAGAGACAGTAGTTGTAGAGCCGATGAGAGCTGCTTCTGTGTGGATAAGTCAGTCTTCCATGTTGCTTGAAGACTGGGAGCGTGATCAGTTTCTCCTCCATCCTGTGTGAGTGCGAATCTCCGGGGGTCACCATTTGTGGGGTTCAAGATGCTTGGTTCACACTCAGGATGGAATGGAGAAAGGAAACTCACAATGTGCTCTCTATATACATGTTGTATTGGATGTACAATGCAGCTTGGTGCTGGGAAGGCAGCATGGTTACAAGCGTGATGTAGAGAGAGCTGGTTGGTGAGGACGCTCAGAAAAGGACAGCTTGTGGGTCGCCATGCTCGCCGGCGGGAGAGAGGACCGCCAGGCAGGCGGAGGAGGAGCGAGGGCTGCCAGGCAGCGGCGGAGGAGGAGGTGTGTTGCTGGCTGTGGCTGTAGGTAGAAAAAGGCAGGTCACCACGAGATCAGGTCTTAAATAGCGGGGGTAGGCGTGGCTTAGTAGTTGACCCCCGCTCCGGTGATGTTTGGCGGCGCTTGTTGACCTAGACCACGAGACATACACTGGGGAATTGGTGGGGTCGGCTACTCAGCGACAAACAGCGTTTGTAGGGGAGAAATCCACTACAAAGTTGATGAAGAGTTTGTTTAGGAATCAGGTGGTGAGGTGACATGCCAAGACACTTACACAACACACACATTAACAGCACTACTAAACCATTGTCTTATAACATTTTACATTATAATTTTAAAATAAATTGATACATGATGGCTCAAGAGGGCTACTTGTACACTTAGACAACTGATCAATGAATAAACCTGGGCATATGGAGACTCATTATACATTAGTGATGTTACAAAGCTTTGAACCTTTACTCAAATGTACTAAGTTAATTACTAAAAATATTATGTATGATGCAAAATACCTGTAAGAGTTGTTTATACTCAAATTAATCGTCATCTTACAAGAATTCCAGCAATGCAAGTTATATTCTTAGTCAAGTCAGTGGCATCTTGTAAGCAAAAAATTTAAATCCCTCTGCCTGGAGTATGCTGTCAACAGCCAACCTCCCCCCCCTACCCCAAGCCAGAGAGCCAGAGGGAGAACATAAGAAAATAAGGAGTCTGCAATAGGCCGGTTGGCCTGTGCATGGCAGCTCCTGTCGAGAGTTACTACCACTCTATCATCCGTGAATCTATCTAGCCTCCTTTTAAAACTTTCCAGCATTCCAGAACTCACTACAAAGTTGCTAAGCTTGTTCCACTCCTCCACCGCCCTATTTGTGAACCGGTTCCTTCCTATCTCCCGCCTAAACCTAAACTTATCCAACTTAAATCCGTTGCTACGAGTCCTAGCCTGCTTGGATATTATAAGAACTTTATCTATATCCCCTTTATTGATTCCTTTCACCCACTTAAATACTTCTATCATATCTCCCCACACTTTCCATCTTTCTAGGGAATGCAAGTTTAGTTTCCTTATCTTATCTTGATATGGAAGGTTTCTTAGTCCCGGAATCATTTTCGTCATTCTTCACTGCACCTACTCCAGTGAATTGATATCCATTTTATAATAAGGGCACCAGAACTGAACAGCATAATCAAGGTGCGGCCTGACTAGCGCAAGATATAGTTGCAATATGACCTCCGCACTCTTATTACTTACACTTCTAGATATAAAACCTAATACTCTGTTTGCCTTATTTTGAACATTAACGCACTGTTTTCTAGGCCGTAGGTCCGGGCTTACAGTACCCCTAAGTCTCTTTCCTCTCTCACAAGTCGACTTCTCTAGGTTGATGTTGTTTAGGCTGTATACATTGACAGTATTTGTTCTTCTAATATTAAGTTGCTTTCCACACACCCCAACACCTAGATCCTCTACCTAGGGGATTTCAATGTACATCACAGAGAGTGGCTTGGCTCTGCAAGGGATGACCCAGGTGGAGCTGAGGCTCTCTCTTTTTCCTTACTTAATGATTTGGAACAAATAATCAAACACCCTACACGCGTTCCTGATCGACACGATCAACTTGCTAACATTCTTGATCTTTGTTTTACCTCTAACCCCTCACACTATTCATACTCAATTTATGCCCCCTTAGGGTCTTCTGATCACAATCTTATTTCTATTAAATCAAACTGGGCACGACCACCTCCTGGCAAATCTTGAAAATTCTTGGGATGAATCTGCTGGGGTGCAGGTGGTATGAGTGCATTTATCCCATCTTCTCCCAAAACTTTCACATTACAATCATGGTTTGATCGCTCCTGCTCTCTTGCTTGCAGGGTGAGAGATAGGGCATATCGAGCTATGAAACTATCTCCTTCTCCTATTACCCACACCTCTTTCATTACTTCTAGGAATCGTTGTAAGGCTATTCTTCGTAGGGCCAAGCGGAATTTTATTAAAAGAAAGACTGCTGTCCTGACTAATTCTTCCTCTAGTAAATCCTTCTGGTCCTTAGCTAAAAACATCTGTATAAACTTCTGCACGCCTTCTTTTCCTCCCCTCTTCCGTCCCAATAACTCTATAGCCAACTCTCCCCCTGAGAAAGCCAACCTCTTTGGCACCTTATTCTCCTCTAATTCCACCTTAGACGATTCCCACTCTACCCCTCCTACCCCTGCATCTCCTACTGAACCTATGCACTTTCCTATAATCTCCACTAGCAGGGTTTCCGGTGTGTTATCCAGGTTGGATGTGAGTAAGGCGCATGGACCGGACGGAATACCCCCTCGTGTTCTGAGGGAGTGTGCTGAAGCCCTGGCCCCTGTGCTTGCTCGCCTCTTTTGCCTTTGCCTCAAAACGAAAACTTTTCCTTCTTCTTGGAAGCATGCCTTGGTTCAGCCCATCCCGAAGAAGGGTGACCATTCTAATCCCTCTAACTATTGCCCCATTGCCCTAACTTCATCCCTCTCTAAGATTTTCGAAACTATCTTGAACTCCCATTTTCTCCGTCACCTTGAACGCCTTTCTCTTTTGTCGGATCACCAGTATGGCTTTCGCCAGGCAAGATCTACTGGTGATCTGCTCTCCTATTGCACACATTTTTGGTCGTCATCTCTTAGGGATTATGGGGAAACTTTTGTCGTAGCCCTCGACATCTCCAAAGCATTTGACAGGGTATGGCACAAGTCTTTGCTATCTAAACTTCCCTCTTTTGGTTTCTCTCCCCCACTTTGTTCTCTCATCTCTAGCTTCCTTGAGAATCGATCCATGGCAGTTGTTGTCGAGGGATCGCTCTTTCTCTACCAATAGTGGCGTCCCACAGGGTTCTGTTCTTTCACCAACTCTCTTTCTTCTTTTTATCAATGATTTACTTCACACTACAACTAATTCTATCCATTCTTTCGCCGATGATTCTACTCTTCACTCTTCCTCACATTTTCCCCTTCCTCCTAACTCTCAAACTAGATCTGTTTCTAGAACTGATATCATTACTTCTATCAACGCGGATCTGTGCAGCATCTCTGAATGGGGAGATACAAACTTGGTTAAGTTCAATAGTAACAAAACTCAATATTTACCAATTACACTTTGTACTATAGGGACAGAAATGGTTGATTTAAACTATTGCTCCAAACTGCACCACACCCAAAATATATACCATAGTGCCATCTTTGGCATATACAGTAAATGAACTTTTGTAAACTGTACTGTACATACATGATGTGACAATGTTTGTTTTGTCAAGTGATGTATAGTGCATGTCATTAGTGTAACGGTCGGTGCCAAATCGTCGTTATTTGGCGCCATTCATTTTTAGATATACCTGTATCTCATTTATGAGACATTGTTTATCTAAGCCAAGAGTTGTTACGTCTTGCATATTTCACCTCCGTCGTCAGAAAATGTAACGGCGCGATGTTGAGCAATTTGTTGCCAGACTATGGATGATAGATAAGATCTGTCCATATCATATTAAGTCTTCAACACAAGATATTTATTGTCAACTCTAAATTAAATATGTTGTGAATAAAACTTTTCAATTTGGTCTTGTCTCGTGTCATGCCTTTATACAGGTGTGTTACCAAAGTCAGAATAAAAGATTGTCTCCGGCCAGCTTTTTTCTTTTATTATGTCCAGCAATACCATGAAGTGCCAGTGCCCTTATCCACTGATATACAGATTGACCAAAAACATGGTGACTGCACTATGGGGGCGAACTAAAGTAAGACCCCCCCCCCCCCCTTACATGAACATAATAAGCAGGTAGTTGAGTTTTGAGATTTGCCTCGAAAAATCAAATTTTGTAAAAATAATATTAACAGTAGCTAGAGAAGACGATGATGACGAAGATGATTTCCAAGACATAGATACAATTTCAGAAAACTAAACGACAGTAGAGAGGGAACTGCCAACATTTTAACTAGAGGTGGAGGAGCCAGAACAATCACAATGGTCCTCCAAAATACAGGTACAATAGATATTACGGAGCAACGTTACAGATTAAGTGGTCTCCCAAATACAGGAACTACAGGAAAGTCTGGATAAGGTTCCAAGATCATTGGTCTCCCAAGAAGATAAATAACTGGATGACATGACAACCCAGCAGCCACACGTAGCGTCAACAAGCAGTAGTGATGATAAGCCTGAAGAGCCAAGTGAAAAGATACTGTGGTTAAAGTGTTTTTTATTTATTTGTGGTGTGGTAGTAACGGGTTGTGTTATATACTAATTGTGGGATAAGATCTGATGATCGATTGCGATAATTACACCCCTGGGGAAGCAACAATTAAGTCTGGGATTAGCACAAGTAAAGAAATAAGCCCTGGCTTCTCTTGCCTTACACATCCAGTATATAGTGTACATCCAAAGTGCATTTCTACACCTAAGTCTAAACAATAATGTGTACTGAACAACTTCCCTTGTTCATGCTCATCTTTCCCTCTTCTGTTGTTCTGTCAGTGAATATATTACTTTCATTGATCTCTCACTTAAAATATTATTCCCTCACCTGACACAACCTCTCCCGGATATCTGAAGAAAAAAATATCTCTGCCTTTCTATGCCTTTCGGTAGTGTGCATACAAGACCGATGCATATAATTCACAATTCAACACACACATACAGATTGATATTCTGAATTATGTGACACAATCGTCTTCATAAGCGAGTATTGTCCTTCTACTCTCACACACACACAGGTTGGATCAACAGCATGGAAATCCTTCATGAGTCAAGCGTGTACAAGGATTCCAGGCAGCCTACAAGACCTAAAGACTCTGGTTGTGAGGCATCCTCTTGGTCGTCTGGTTTCAGCTTACAAGTAAGTTGGTGAAACCTTGGTAATAAGAGTTAGCTTGTCTGTACAGCCTAAGAATAAGTTTCATCCAATCAGAGTGTTGTTTACTTGTACGCTTCACCATTGTCTACTCATGACTCACGAAAATATTTTGAGTTCATACTTATAGTTTTCTCAGTTGATATGGTATAAAAGTTTCATTATCGGTCATTCTTCAGTAACTATCATCATTAAGATTCAAATGTGATGGCTCTCTTGATTTTTAATTGTTGATGACTGTCACGAGCCTGGGCGCTCGGGATCTCGCATAGCTTGAGGCATCTGTTCACGCTTCCATTTCACACAAGCTACTATTAATTTGTTAATTGTACTTATTATATTATTATTGTTCTTAGTTACTTAGGTTAATTGTATATTTATGTATGTAATTTATATGCATCATTGTCTTACTCTGTTAAGTCAACTCAAGAGTAATATTAATTAATTATATAAAATATCCAGCAAATGTCTAGATCACGTGATATGAGACGCTCCTCCACGGCGTACCCACGCCACGCTCCCCAGTAGCGAAGAATCCGTGGCTTAGGTTAGACGTGTCTATTCGTTCTCTAGCCTTGACCTTTGTCTAAGTGCTTTATCAAGTCTTCTGCAATGCCCTAGGGGTATCAGGTATTAGTGACACGTTTAGTTAGGCCTAGGAAGGGATCCTGGTGGTAAGGTATCTCCTGTTTGGTAGGGATAATCATTTTGTATTGATTGTTGTATATATATATTTCGTATGTCTTGTGTAATATAGTAATGTTAAGTAATATTTGTTTGGTCTAACTCCTTACAGTATAGTTTCGCCCTTCCGGCATCACTCTTATTTTATTATACAATTACTTATTCACTTAAATTCATGTTTGCTAATCATTACTCCCTTTAAAACATAAATTGAATTAATTAATTATCTTCCATTTTGTAATTCACTTATTTCAACTGTTCTTACTTTTTCAAGTACATTTAGTTGAGTAGGTATTTGGTGGAGATAATTATTGCCGTGTTCCCTGTTTGTACCTTTATTTGTTAAAATTCTTGGGGTAGGATTCACTCCCCAAGTATAAAGAGTAGTGGGATCACGACAATGACTTAGTGTATTTACTAACCTAGAATACGCTCTTCATAAATATATAATAACTTCAACAACATTGTTCTTTCATTATAGAGACAAGTACCTAAATGGGTCTCCACTTAATACCTACGACAAGGCCTACAGGAAAGTAACGGGAAGTCATCAGACGTGGAATGATAGATGGCAGGAATACTGGCTTCCAGCTCTCATACACAAAGGATCCGTCGCACCTTCCCCTCAGTACCTCACAACACTAAAAAAGGTTTCGCAGGCATATGGCTTTCTGACAGGGAAGCGTTTTGGGACGTTTAGCCGCCATCGTCTTAATGAAACCAAGAAAGCATCGTCTAACCCCGAGAGAAAGTTTATAACGTTAGCCAAGAAGATGCTGACAGTAGGCAAACACGTTGGTGTCGTTGCTGCTGTCAACATTGGGTACTCCGCGACGGAACAAAGTAAACTAAAGAAGTATTTCAGTAACGCCTCCTTCACTATGGCAGAGTTCCTTGAGCACGTATTATGGACCAGGGACGTGGACCTGTTGGACCATCACTGGACCCCCATTAGCCAACTGTGTGGTCCATGTACAGCTGACTACAAGTACATCGTGCGGCATGAGAACCCCAAGGAAGCGGAGTACCTTCTGGGCCTCCTGCACCTTCAGGAAAACACCATTCCGAGGAAACACAAATCCATCGGAGCATTACATGATAAGTCTGACCTTCAGTACTTTGAAGACGTCCCCAAAGACTTAATGGCCATAATTATTGATATGTATAAACAAGACTTTGATTTGTTCAGTTATGATAAAATCAGTAAATAAAGTAAGGAAAATATAGATATAGAAGACAACCTTATGTTAAGTCAAATATTGGCAAGTTAAAAAAAAGGTCGACAAGAAGATAAGGTGAAAAAAAGAACAATTTTAACATCTGTATTGTTAACTTCTCTGACCCACTCACTGCAGTACACAGATAAAAACAACAGGTTAATAAGATGAGAATTAAAACGCCATCTACATACAGTACATAGCGCCGGCACAGTGGTCACCAACCCTCCACAGTTCCTGATAATAGAGACTGTGTTGGCCACTAAGGAGAACCCTTTCTCAGTAAACAACGGGACTTCCTTGAACCTTTTCTGTTAAGTAAATTTCCTTTCGTCTTCATAGACCATTTTCTGTGATCTTGTCATGTATGAATTTCGTGTTTTATCATATTTCTGATATTGACATTAAAAAAATTATTTAGCTAGAAAAATACAGACGCTGTGCAAAGCGGACAATGACAACGTGGACATGACTGAGCCACCATGTTTACTAGTATCATACAGTGTAGTCTTCACTTTAGGTGAATTTAATCTTATGTTTGGTTAGGTTAGGTACTGAGTTCGTGTTTATTGTGTTATGCCATAACTTAGCAACTTTCTTTGATGGAAGCAACTTCCGGGGACGAGATATTTGCCGGTGTCCAAACGACTTTCTCAAACACAGAAAAATCCCTTGTCCTCGGATTTCTTTTTTTCGGTTACCGGGAAAAGTTTCCCAGAGACTAAACAACACAGACACACACTAGCCCACATCCCAGAATGTTTCTGGGTGCTGGGGAAAGATTTCCGGGAGTCTAAACTACCGGAGTCCGTATAAGCAGTTCTTCTTAAGTTAGAAATTCCATTTCTTTACTAGAATAATCCCGAATTGTTTATCTAAAAGCTTAGTTAAATAAATATAATTAAAAAAATACAAATCTTTGATACGGTGTTACAACGACGACGGGTATTTCCCAGTCACACTGAGCTGTGGGGGTTAGTGGGTCTCCTGTTACTGAACAGACATGATGCAATGTCAGGTGGAGGTAGGGTGGACGATGAGTGGTCTCAAAATACTGACCTTCTGATGCAATGTCAGGTCACCCACAGTTGGGTCTCATGACCTGACAATGTCTTGAATAAACACAAAAGCTAAGGTGCTCCAGTGTTTCCCACTTACTGAATGTATAGTACAGTACTGTATAAGACATCACCAATTCCCAACAAGTGGACAGGGCTTTGAAGTAGATGGAGAATGTGGGGTAAGATACTAAAAATAACACTAAACAAACCTTTGAAAACCTGACCTAACCTTCCTTAATCTATAGAAAGGTTAAAAATCACTTTCAAGTTCATAGATCCCCTCCCCACCTGAACACGGAAAACTTCAACACATTAAACAACAACAATAAGGTGCTGTACGTGCTTTATAGTTTTAGGATTTTTATAGGTTAGGTCAGGTCAGGTTTTCAAAGGTTCGTTTATTGTTCTTTTTAGTATTTTACTCCACATTTTCCCTCTTTCAAACCCTTCTCCACTTTGAGCAACTACCGTAATATTATTGGTACTTTTATCGGCTAAAATACTCGAAAAATATAATACTGTACTCACAATACATTGTCAATCCAAATAAGTGATTAACAACATACTGAGCTGTACTATAGAATTTGAATATGAAAATTGCAACTACTGAATTTATATGCTATTTAATATTAATTTTTGATTCACATTACTCTCCAAGATTATGCACAGAATCAACAGGACTGAATTACATTTCCCCAAAGTACTGTATAAAGGAGCCCAATCATCTGTGTCTTCTCCCTTCATATTTCCCTGGATGACGATAATCTCGGTTCTGCGATTATTCAGTCCAAGTTTTCTCCAAGCCATCCAAATCTTAATACGTATCAGACATTAAAGATTTCATTATCATCGGCATAGAAAATAGGCAACACCCCGAGCATCTACGGACATCCGGCAGAGATGCAAGACTACTGGTGTAGACTGTAAACACAAGTGGTCCCAAAACTGATGTCTGTGGGACTCCAAACTGCAAAGGGACAGGATCTGCAATGGTTCCACCAATCATCACACACTGAGATCTCTCTAACAAATAGGACTCAACCAGTGAAATATATGACCTCACACAATGTACCCAGAGGGCGACCTCACTTTACCTGGTGACATCACGAGATCTGAGGTTGACAAGTTCCACAACAATTTAAATGAGTTACTTAATACACAAAGGCAGAACATACTATACAAAAAACACGGATAGATAATTATTTAAAGAATATTATTGGACAAAGAACGGCTGAAGTTTGCCTCCGAGATTATTATAAGGAATTGGCCAGTAGGGTTAAGACTGAGATAAGAAAAGCAAAGAACTGAAGGTATCAGGGGAGGCAAAGTCAAACCCAAGAGATTCTTCCAAATGTATCACACTAAAACACGTGACAATATTGGACCAATACAGTCAGATACTGGCAGGCTAACGACAGGGAACCGAGCAATAATCTGAAGATATTTTTCAACAGTTTTCGTCATCGAAACTTTAAACATGATACCCGAGGCACCGACTATATACAGAAATAGTGAAGAAAGTAGATCAAGCAAGATAGGAGTGACTAGTAACTATGTTAGTAAACAAACAGACAAGTTAAACCTAAGAAGTCGGCAGTTCCCGATGAGATATTTGCCAGAGTATTAAAGGAATGTAAGCAAGAACTTAGTACACCCAGTCCTAGCTTAAAGTTGCCCCACACAATGCTGTTTCGTTATAACGTTCCTACTCTTTAGATACCCACGATTCCGACCAATTCAGTATAACGTTGTCACCCAACACGGGCTACTTTATATGGCGCGCCACCCTCTCTCACCTCGGTGTGCTACGCTCTCTTGCGGAGCATCACAGCGTCCCCGAGTGTTTTCTCCCCAGTCATTGTTAAGCTTCCACAGCGTACGTGTGTGCTTAAGTACCCTAAAGCTCAGTACTTGGACCATTCATTTTTATGATATATGTTGGACTCAAAGACCAAAAATGACCACAATGCATTGTGGATGTTTTCAAAAGAACCAGAAATCGAAATTTTGCCTCTTGGGTTTTGCCCAATAAATACAACCTAACCTAACCTAACCTTCCCTAACCTGTAGTAAAAAAAAAAAAAAATCTTTATTTTCGGCATATAACTACAGTGCCAGTAGTGATTATCTCCCCCAAAACACATCTCTATAGCGATATCAACGATGGTGAGTATACATAGAGTACAGTTGGGTCTGCATTTACGCGGTCAATTGAACCCGCGGAGGCCCGCGAGAAACGCGTAAATGAAATAATGGAACATAGGGAATTAATTAAAATAGAGACTGGGCCGACCCCCAAACTCCACTTTTTGCGACACAATACATACATTGTAGTAAAAATAGTATCTTAACTTTATGATGGTATGCACACACATAATACAGAAAAGAAATATCAATAATATTAGGTTTTTTAACACTTACGTTAGTAGAAAAGATGGCTGGGCACACGGGCATGGGGGGTTGGTTCCGAGGCAGACGGCAGATTATTGGCCCTCGCCTGTATCACTATCCACCACAGAGGCTTGCAGGGCCTCTTTGTCAAACCCCTCAAAGTCCATATCCTCACTATCACTATCCCTGGCTTGGGCCGACTGTGGTGGGTGAAGAACTCGGTAATGCTTCGATGACTGGACGACCTCGTGCGCACCCTGCCCGCGCCGCTTCCCGCGTAAATGACCAAATTTACAGCGTAATTAAAGAATTTCATTCTGGCAAGGCACCGCGTAAACGACCAAACGCGTAAACCAAACCCGCGTAAATCCAGACTCGACTGTATTTATGTCATGGTCACATTGACTGTTAGTCTGTTTTAACACTAATGATTCTTATTAAACTCTACGACCACAAAACACGAGTGGGTTAGCCGTCCCCGAGAAGACGTGTTTTTCGCCGTCGACGCTTCGACTCGCGATCCCTCCCGGTAAGTCCCGCCTTCGAACGCAGTTGTTAATACGTTTTTTCCAATCTCTCCTGACAAGCTCAATCTTGATTAGTCTGTCTAAATCAACTTTAGTAATTCGCCAGACCTTTGTCAACTGAGGGTCATACTTGAATGAGTAACAGTCGAGTTGTTGCACGAGTAGCGATCGCTGGCAACTCAGGGGTATATTACCACGGGGGAGAGGGAGAGAGCGTCCCGTGACGTCCTCTCCCGTTTGTTCCCAGGTATGTAGCGGTGTTTTATAGCCATTCAGTTTGATTCAGTCAATTGTAGTGAATATCAGTGTTCATGCTTTAACAGTGGAATTGTCATTCACCCAGTGTAAAAAAGTAATATAAAGTAAATGTCGTCTGACGTTGCGAGACGAAAGATTTGTTTTGTGTTGTCATCGTGCTTCCCAGTCCTGTGACGTCCTCTCCCGTTTGTTCCCAGATTCCAGGGTGGGCTTATTTGAACACCCCATCGGCTGCTGAGCCGGTGGGTAACCAGCAGGGATCAATATATGCATCGGTCGGTGATTCGACATGATTAACTTACTACAGATCAACATCGCGGGGCTGGACCCCAGACGCTCGCCACGTGTCGACCGCGACGGTAGTCGTCAGTTGTTAGAGGCGCCGGTGCTATACCCTGGGACATGCTTTGGAGTTATGGTCCACAATGTGGTTGTATGTGTTTGCTAATAATTATCCCATGTTGGGTAATGGACCCATGTATTTGCTGGTTTCAGTATTAACATGTTGTGTGTTTTGAGTGCATCTCATATGCCCTACCAACAGTTAGTGTGAAATACCATATGTAAGTTGGCCATGTATGTAATGAAATGTATCACCAGTAATGTGGGTGAAGTAAGTACCTACTGGGATTGGCAGTTAAGAGGAGCCAAGGAGTTGTCATGTGTCTATATGTAATGTGAGTAAAGTCAAGGAATTGATCCTTGTAACTGTAACGTAATGTAACACCAGTAAGGTTGTGTGCAGTAAGAGTGTAGGATCTGAGTAACTTGCAGAGGAGTGAAAATAAGTAAATAAGAAATACTCAGTCTGCAATAAGCCCAGGAGTGAGCCTGGTAGTTATATGTTAATGATATATTTTTCCCCACTTTGATTCAATATTAATAAACTTGTTCTTTGAGTATTTTAGGAGTATTCATTTCTCCCACAGCAGTTACCTTTATTTCCGTCCAAGTGACATGATACCAGAATTACAATACCCATGTGCCTAGACCCTCGTCCATGCTACCAAAAAGAACTGAGGTTATGTAGTAACCATGAATTGAGGTAAGTAAAAACAACACTTGAAAGAACTAAGACAAGAAAAGTATGAGTAAGATAAGGGTGGCAGAGCAAGAGAGAGAAACTGCCGCTCTTACAGTGATGACAGTATGTTCAGCCACCCTTACATTTATATTGGATAATCACATATATTTGAGCTGTATTCAAGAC